CACGGCCTGCCTCTTTGCTGGAGGCGCCTGTCCTTCACTCGGCCTTTTCCCAGTGTGCTGCGCGACTTGCATCAGTTCTGGGCACTTCGGCTTAATGTGCCCGGCCTCTCTGCAGTGGAAACAAACCCTCTCATCCGATCCGCTCCCTGGGTTCTTTCCGCACTTGTCCTCTTCTGGACAATCCTTCACCTTGTGCTCCATGCTTCCGCACCGGAGACACGCACCTGACGCGCACCAGCTCGCACATTTCTCCTTCCCAGCGGTCGAACCAGCATTACGACCCGCTGGTGATTTTCCCGACGAACCACCTTTCTTTGGTCCAGCCGCAGCATGAACAACCAACTTAGCTTCTTCCGCAGAAGTTTCTTCCAACTGCGCAGCCTTTTCCACTAACTCCGGAAAGGTGCGATAGTCTTGCATCTCACAATGCTTCTTCAGATCAATCCTTAGCCCACGAATGAATCGCTTGATCTGAGTATGCTCATCTGTCATACCCGCAGACTTCTTCAGCTTGTTGAACTCGGCTTCATACTCCCGAACTGACTTTGATCCTTGGCGCAGATCCAAGAAGACACTCTCCAAGCGATCGTGCGCCTCAGGCGAGAAGTACTTAGCCTTGAACAATCCACAAAAATCAGCCCACGTACCGACTCGCTTTCTTCCAACCGCACCACGCCACCACGTGTGCGCATCACCCTCAAGATAGTGCACGGCAATATCTTTTCTGTACTGTTTCGGGCAGCGAATCGACTCGAAGTTCCTCTCCAGACGGTCGATCCATTCATCGGCCTCAATCGGCTTTGTTCCTCCCTTGAAGAACTTCGTACCCAACTTTTGCATGTGGTCCATCACCTTCAGGTAAGATGGGACCCTTACACCAGCATTTCCTTCATCCGCTTCAGCAGGCGGATTCACTTGCACGACCGGCGGTGGTGCCACTGAGACAGCCGCAACAGCCGGCAATCGTGCCAACACCTGGGTTAACAGACCCAACACCGCTTCCAATCTAACCGGGGCAGCAGAAACGTTCGGAACAGCCCCAGCCGCAGCAGCCGCAGCCGCAGCCGCATTCTCGGCATTCCCAGCAATGCCCACATTCGGATCCACTTGATCCTGATTCCCACCCGCAGCATTTCTAGCCGCCGAGTTTTCACCAGCATGACGTCTACGATCACCTCTTGCCATCTGCAAAGGTTCGATACTCTATTAAGTTAGCCGGCAAACTAACTTAACACCACATACAAACATTATCAGTCTTACCGCGGAACTTTGGTTTTGGAAGGATGGTTTACCCACTAACCCACTTATGCTACGACTTTGTCCTAGAACCGACCGCGCTCTGATACCAACTTGTAGCACCCTAACCCGGATTTCCGTTTTAACTTATACTTAGTCAAAATTTTCATCCGGATTTTTACTTAACATTTTTCGCATTAGGTTCGTTTAGACAACTTTAGCCGTGCATAAGTAGATTAAAAACAGAATACTTGAATTAAATCGAGGTTCTTAGTACAATGATCGTTTGCGTATAAGCTATTACATCGACTAAGACCTTAACTACCCGATCCTACCATCCATCCCGATCTAGCCATAGTCCGCGCGCTGATCAGACCTCTTTACCTGCATCCACAAAGGAGGCATAAGCAAACAGAACTGCTTAGTGAGAGCGGTCAACCCGTCTCACCGAGCCAGAGTAAAATCGTATCAAACAAAGATCGAGTCCAATGCTCATCAGAAACAGTAAACTACCCGCAGTGAACATACGCGCTTACCCGGCCGATCATCCAGCGACCAGACAAGCCTCGGCGGGCATCACAGCCGTGAGCGCCTTGCCTGATCTAGATCGCCGGTAAGGCGGATCGATCACACGGCATAGCCAGCAGAAATGTCATGACAAGCACAGAATAACACGCAACCGACCAGAATCTAAGCAAGAATACGACCAACAGGCCACGGTCACGCACTCACCTTAGCTTTTATCGGACAGAATTCGATAGGGACAGAAATCGCGATTGATCAGACTCGTTCCCACAATCGCTCGGCAGAATCCGGACCACGCTCGACAGAAATGCACTTGCTCTCGGCCAGAATCCGATCGCTCTCGGCCAAACAGACTTTCTCTCGGCTAACTTCTCTTAAGAATATTTCTCTCAATCTTTCTGAGTTCTTTTGGGTTGCGCGAAGGGAAGAAATGATTCGGAAGCCTTTATTATATAGGCGTTCCCACGATTTTCCGCAGAAAACCGCCCAGAAACCGTTCCCGCGTTATTCCGCATGTTTCCACGATCCGCACGATCCGCTAAGATTCCGCGTGCTTTCGCACGACTGATAATCGTTCCTGCGCAACGCCAGCTCGGCTAAAATCCATAACCATTCCCGCGCTCACGCCTTAGCGCGTCTTTACCCGATAACCGCTCCCGCGCACCCGATCTCGACAAAGGTTGTCTGTTCCGGACCAACCTTGTCCGAATTCCGATCAAGTCCCGAAAAACTCGGCTTGTCGGAAATTCCCTGCTAAATTTCCCGAAATCCGCGGCGAGCTGATTTCAGCTCGGCAACACTTGACTCAGCTCGGCCAAACTTGATTCAGCCCGGCAAAAGCTGGACTTAGCTCGGAATCACCCGACTGAATTCAGTTTCACCCGACTAAACCCATTTTTCCGACTTTTCTCAGTTTTTCCCGAACTCGGGTGTTAAACTACGCCCTAGTTTTTTTATTGATTTTTTTTTTAATTTAGTTTTAAGTTATAATTTGTATTTTGAGTATATACAACACATATATGTATAGTGTGTTCATACTTGCGTATTATAGAAATGCATTAGATGAATGCAAAATTATTAGAAAGTATAACCAATTTTGTTTCCTTAAGGTTTTAAAATATTAATGTAGTTTTTAGATCTTCATTATATATATAAAATGTTGTAGTTATGGAAAATGTTTTGCGGAGTTAACAACTTCAGTAGTATATAAATATACCATTAGAAACTATAAAAATAATACTTTCCCTTATCATGACTTTTTGACAAATTACTAATCTGTAGATAATAGCTTGTAGCCTAAAAAATGATAGACTAATTAGGTAATTATAAGTAAAAATTATAAACCTAACACACAAAAATTGATGCTGCAATACTAAAAAAATTGTACAAAAACCAAAAAGCACGCCAAACTAAATCAGAGCAAACCAACTCAAACTTCTGCCATCCAAAAAATGAGGCAGCATTTACTTTACTATATAAGTCATTTCTCTGCAAAGGGTTTAAATCATGAGGCAGAAAAGTGGCGAATATTCATGTTTCTAATGGACTTTAGCTGCTTAGTATGATGACATGTACCTAAAACGTTTTTTTAATCATCGTAACCATAGCAGTATTTCTTCGTTTTTGTTATTTTCGTCTTGAGTTTCGCTTACTTGACCATGTGATGATATTTGATCAAGCCCCTTTAATATATCATGTGGCATAAAAGAGGAGAAAGGTCAATACACAATATATCACTTGACTATAACGTTTGTTTGTTCAATTTTCTAAATATAACATTTTATATCGAAGCATAATGAAATAATGTAGAAGCAAAAAAACATTATAAAACATGTAATTTCGTGTAATATACTCCACATGAGATGTAATTACGTTGAAACTTATTTGTCTGGATCGTGAAGACCGTAAGTATTTTTTCATGTCCCTTTTGGTATCTCAAAGCCTCTCATAGTTTTGTATTAGATATTTATTTGAAAATTAAGACTACATGAGCTAATTTTAATCACTCACATCGATCTGGCTAAAACTAACTAAAACCAAATAAGATAATCCACCTTACACGTTTTGTAGACGAAATCTTACATCTTTTTAGTAGCTTCTAAAGGCATATGGTAATAGAAAACCATATAGGTTAGTATAATCAATGAATTTAATAGGGTAGTTTGTCTTTCCTACTGCATTACCGATCAAATGTAATGAGAAATCAAATCACATAAAACAGAGACATGGAGAAGATTAAAACTGAAATAAATCATCATAGATCCAAATATCTAACCGCAGATCTTGATGGCGTCCGCTGGTTCCATCGTAGAAAACAAAACTAAGTTAGAGACAGTAACATCAATATGCTTTGTAATCCGATAACTCTTGAGGCCATTTACCCTAAAAACGTTCGACTATAATGTAAGAAATAATGCATATAATACATGACTACTAATTTTGGATTCATATAGGTTTGTACCGTTTGTTGCTACAATTATGTAGAGAAGATAGAAGATGATTAAAATTAAAAAAATGCAGGTGGGTGCTTTTTAAAAAGAGAATGCACCTAAATGGTAGAATTTTTAATAATCAAAAAATAAATGGTAGAATTTTTGAAAATGTTAGGAACAGAGAGCAGAACACGCAATTAAAAAAAAATTCTGCGTCCAAACTTGTTTATGTAAATTCATTCACATGGTCTATTATGAACTCTAAATGCAGTAAGTGTAGTAATAATTAGTTAAAAACATTAGCTTGACCAAGCATATATATATATATATTTTGTTTGACCTAGTAAGTAGCTATGGTAGCTTGCTCATGTTCTCTTTAATTCATCACACACAATTCTACTTTGCTTTATAGATGCGACTCCTATAACGGTCCATCATTAACACTATATGTAATCACTTGATTAACGTAAACTGTTTTTATATATACGTTTGCAACTATGGAACTCCGCAAAAGCTAACAGTTCTAAACACAGACCAAAGAGTGCAACCACAACTATATAAGTATATTTACTTGGTAAGCCTCAATTTAATACGAATATGAGTTTATAACTTATAACCTAATGCATGGGTAATACATCATGTTCCTACAGACCTTAACTCCTACATCTCCAATAGTATTAGAAAGAGCTAACATGAGTCCTCAAGTACTGTATATTTGGTATTTAAAGTTAATATAACTTTAAAATATGTGATTTATGAAAAACATCATGTACGTTATATGCAAACAGATAATCTTTATATTGCTTGCATTAACCATGCTCATCAACCATTAATCTTAGCATTGGTTGCATCAACCATGCTCATGAATTTTCACTCCTCTGTCAACCCTAAAAGTGCTTTCTTTTTATGTTTGTCGCCATCCAAACTCTGATGTGCTTTAGCCTTATCCCTCAGACGCATGGCCACTACTCCCCTTTGACACCATCAACTACCTCCTCTCTTTTCATCGTCATTTGGAACTGGATGGACTTCTTTCTTGGCCTTTCTCAGCGACTCAGCGACGTTTTACCTTAGACCATTTAAGCAGATAAAATGTGAGATGATGCATTTATTTAGTTTAGTCTCCAAAGAATTAACATTGGCTCCAGCTTCCAGAGACAACCAAGCACCTTTTACCAGGGAAAATCAGAGCCTGGGGTGTTCCCTTCCAAAACCTTATCGAATAATCTAGATATTACGTCGGAGCCACCGTGAACTTCTCCTCTGGTCAAAACAAAAAGTATCTTCGGTCTATTTAACGAATACACCGACACGTAAGGCTGCACCAATAGACTTGGGTACAACTTGATGATCTCGATCTGCAAGCATGAAAAGCAACACTCAATCCTCCGAACTCTTACAAATCCTTAAAGTAAATATTGTTCATAAAAATATTAGCAACCTTTTTATACAATAAAAAAATCATTTGGTTTCGGAAGCTTCTACAAACCATCTTAAATTATGGATGATAGCTAGAAAAATACACATATAAATTCAGCATATGAAACTTTGTAAACATTTCATTAACCTCACTTGGATTGTCGGAGCTTGACGGACCTTTCCGTCGTTGCAATCTTCATAGGTATTTATCATCTTTTCGTTGAGTGGTTGGAACACTTACTTTTATTTCCTTAGCTAGAAACCAATTTCAGCTTTTCTAAGATAGGTCAGAGAAGAAGGTTAGATAGGAAGAGTAGAAACGAACCTTTATACAAAGATACTCATATGAATTCACTGTACTCTAATAGCATATGAAGCCATATGGAAGGGCTTTTGATGCCATGATTGGATTTCAGAGGCTTTTGAAAGGGTTTTTGTTTGTCGATAGGATTGTGAAAAGGAAAGGTTTATAAGTTTTCGAAAGAGAGGTCATCAATATGATGGAAGTGGCCATTAAAATCATTGATGAGAAATCAGTAACGTTAGCTGGTTTTGAAGGCAAAGGAAATCGATTCATTAAGGAACGAATACGGTTACAGAAAGAAGCGTTGATTAATTTTGGAGTAGGTGAGGTGAATCGTTGATTGATTTTGGGATTTTTTCTTAGGCTTGTATGTAATTTTGTGCCTTTATCGATTCACCTCTCTTTAAACGTGGATGATTTGTTAATTAAATTGTCAATGTTATGTCTGATTTCTGTTATTAAGTTGGTTTGGTTTTTTTGTAACTTTTAGATTTGTAGATGACGTGGAGAATTAAAACCTTCTGATTAGATGAATAAATTTGTGAATATTTCTGCCTACCTGGCATCCTTCAGCTCCTTTTATATAAATAAAGGAGATTGAAGATGCAAGAAATCTGAGTGATTGAGGTGGAGGAGGCAGATCAATTGATCCATGTGAAATCTAAAAAAAATTATATATACTTGTACTTTTTAAAAGAAAAATATGTGAAAATTTGAAAATTTAGTTTAATGATCCCTGTAAAATTTGTTTAGATACATTGTAAATTAAAGCTGATACCTGTAAAATTTTTGGCTAGCTCTGCCACTGGAGCGAAGAGAAGATTCATGAGTGGGAACAGAATTCTCCATCTTTTGGAGAGAATGAATGATTTTTACAAAACTGGTTTACGTGCAAGATCAATCATCAAGTTTATGGAAATTAGATGATGTCATTAGGAAGGGGATTATTGCTAACTCAAACTATAATAGCAAGAAGACGATTTTTGAGAGAAATAAACTAACTGTAGGAACAAAACTCAGACAAGATTTCTCCGATCTTTCGTAAGCTTCTTCTCAAGTTTTCCTTCGAAATTATTATCATGATCCAATTTCTCGAATACTGTATTCTCACCCAGTTCCCTTTCAGGAAAAAAAAAAAGAAAACAGGAAACAAATTTCAGAGCTTACGAAGTGAGAATTACAATGATTGAATATCAGAATCATGATTGTTTGTAAATACCTTCAGAATCACGATACGATCCAGCACTAAATGCTAGCTCGATCTGAGTTATCGTGGGCTTCTTGCCTCGCCGTTGTTTTCGTAATTGCTGGTTTTGATTTCAGCTTTCTGTTCTGACAATGACACTCGTTGGTTTCTTCGTAGGAAGAGGAGATGGTGGGTAATAGGTTAGAGACACCATAGCCGTTGAAGCTCTGGTGATATGTTCATAATTTACATTATTTAGGTTGTATAATTCATTCCAAATCATGTTTTATTCCATGCATTTTAGGTCTTTAGGGTTTGTTTTAGAACTTAGGAGATACATTAGATCTCAATGAGTCTTTGCATGTTTTAAGTGTTTATCAGGTGTATTTGGAGCTGAAAAGATGAATCCAGGAGGTGGAATGGTGACCAAGGCTTGAAAAATGGTGAAATTAGACTTTTGGAGGTTCTCGGCCATTCTCGTGCACCAGGAAGGTTTTTTCTCGGCCAAAACGCGTTCCGCGGGTGGATTTTATCGGCCAAAACACGTACTGGCTAATGGATTTATCGGCCAAAATCTCCGGGTGCAGAAACGTTTCCAAAATCGCCTGTCCGGGGAACCTTCCGGTCCGATTCAGCTGTCGCATGCTTCATCAAAGTTGGAGAGGATTGGATCACGGTTCCAGAGCAAGTGGAATCATTCAATTCGGATGCGTGAGCAGAAAGTTAAGCTTGTCGGAAAACTCCTGTCTCGCTACCGTTTTGGATCAAGCCGATAAGCTCCGAAAAACGCGAAAGACGGTGCACTTCCAGGCCGATTCAGTTTCCGGGGTCTTCATGGAAATCAGATAAATTTGAGTCCTCTTTCCAGAAAGTCCGAGATCATTCAATTCGGAGCTATGAGCAGGAAGATACGGTCTCCGGAATGGACACATGTCTAGACGCTCTTCTCTGATCGTGTAAATGGATTGCGAAGATAAGCCCTCCAGGAAGCCTTCCACTTCCCAAGCACCGAAGCTTCCTTCACCACAGTTGGAGATATATGAGTCCTCTGTCCTCTGCAACCGGAATCACTCAATTCGTATAAGTATCGTAGAAGTTACACTCTCCGGAATGCGGAGTGGTCCAAACAGCCCTGAATGATGCGAGCTAAGTGAAACATGCCGCGATGGAATGCCACGGTCCACACTTGGCCGTGGCACTTAATTGCAATCCTTCGGCGATTGACACGATATTCATGCCACGGTCTACACTTGACCGTGGCAAAGTAACATTTGGCCAGGAAGGATTTTACAAGCATTCGGCACTTGACACGGTTTGAATGCCACGGTCTAGGACTTGACCGTGGCAACATCTTACACACCTTCGGCGAATGACACAGTCTGAATGCCACGGTCTAGGACTTGACCGTGGCAACCTTTTACATACATTCGGCGTTTGACACGACCACTTGCCACGGGAATTGACTCAGACTTGCTAGACCGTGACACCAAGATTCATCCAAGAACACGAAGATACAAGACTTTGCCACGGTCACTTGCCACGGGCTGACCAGAACTTGCTAGACCGTGGCAAACTCATCTTTACCCACCAAGACCGGGTCAGTACCCGGTTTGTTCTGGGTTGACCCGGTTCGCCCAAGACATCTATATATAGTTTTTAGACCTAATTTGGAGAGAACCTTTTATCCATTTCTAGTCTCTTTTCCCTTTTTGGTGAAAGACCATTTGCTTACAATTTGCTTTTGAGTTTAATATCGATTTGAAGTTTATTTTTCATCTTGTTCCATCATTTCTTATCATCAAATCACACTTCTAATCATGATTAACAACACATCTTGCAAAGGATCTAGTGTGTTGATCATGATTAGTGAGTAATCCCATATTAAGGTCTTAGATATATAGATTAGGGTGCTTAAGTGGTAGATTAGTGAACTTAGGGGTTAGATCATGCATATTCCATTCTCTACAACCTGTTCTCTATGCTAGATCCATACAAATCATATGTGGTCTAGATTTTGGGCATTTCATGCACCAAAAGTGTTTGATGAAATGCCTGAACCAAGGTTGTTAGAGGTTTAAGTGTTATTCATCATGGGAATGATTGTCTATATGCTTAAATGACAGATTAAACTGATTCTTAATGCTTGTTAACTCATGTTTCACTGATGATGATTGGGTTAGAAACTGTTTTAGCATAGGAGTTAATACCTTCATGAGAGGATTAACTTAATTAAAGATGTTTATGTTGAATGGTTTGCTTGATCATATGATTCATTAGCTCATTAGTTTTTATCACTGAAGGCACCCTAATCCACTATCATGTCTAAGACCTTTCTCATCATCATTCATACATTCTCATCATTTGTCATTGTTTAGTTCTTGTTTAATCATTTCATTAGTCTTTAATCCTGTTTAAGTTTGTAGTGTCTTTAGATAATCAAAACCACTCTTGTTTGCTTGAATTAAGAACCTGATCACATAGTTTAGTGTCTAACACCACATCTGGATTGATAAACCCCTTTGTACTACAAGACAGGGGATTGATAACCTCTATAAAGAGCCTTGAAAACTCTTAGTTATCAATTGGCGTCGTTGCCAAATTGTGGTTTGTTTAGCATTAAGCTCTGATCTGTTCTTGAGATCAAGTGCTTATTTTCTTTTTTTTTACTGATTACTTTCAAGTTCTGTTTGTGATTTCAGGTGTATGAACACCAGGTCTAGATCAAGAAGCTGTGGTCCACCTTTCCCCCTCAACGACAACATCAATCTTTTGGTACCAAGAAGGAGAAGGGACAGACGTGGAAGACAGGTTGATCAGGCTGATATGGAAGAACAAAGAGAGCACGTGGTAGATATAGAATAACCGGTTCAGGAGCAACAGGCTCAGTGTAATGGAGCTGGTAATGGAGTTGGTCAAGGGTTAAATCAGGGTAATGTTCATCAGGAACAGGTGCATCAACAACAAGCTTATGTCCCCCAGGGACAAGCTCAAGCTCATCAACAGAGGCATCATGCCAATGTACAGCAAAGACAACAGGTGCACCACCAACATCAGCCCTTCCAACACCAGCAAAAGAGATATGAGCAACCCCAAGTCTATGTTGGAGAGAATGACAGGGCCAATGCTCATCAGTATGGAGCTGAAATTCAGGCACCACCTGTGCAAAACAACAACTTTGAAGTGAAGGCATCCTTGTTGAATATGGTCCAGAACTCAAAGTTTCATGGATTAGCAATGGAAGACCCCTTGGAACACTTGGATCAATTTGATAAAGTGTGTGACCTGACTAAGATTAATGGAGTTTCAGAAGACAGCTTCAAGCTAAGACTATTCCCATTTAGTCTTGGTGACAAAGCTCACCAATGGAAAAAGAATCTTCCAAGAGGCTCCATTCAAACATGGGAGCAATGCAAGCAAGTTTTCCTATCTAAGTTCTTCTCCACTTCAAGAACTGCAAAACTGAGGAACCAAATCTCTAGCTTCACTCAGCACAGCAATGAGAGTTTTGGTGAAGCATATGAGAGATTCAGGAGCTACACAAACCAATGCCCACACCATGGGTTTAGTGAGGCTTCCCTTCTCAGCACACTATATAGAGGAGCTCTTCCCAAGATTAGAAACCAGCTGGATACTGCCTCCAATGGGAACTTTCTGGGAAAGGAGATACATGCTGCATTAGAGCTAGTGGAGAACTTAGCATTGAGCAATGATACTTATGGTGAAGACTATGACAGATCAAATAGATCTGAAGGTTCAAGCTC